TGCACGGCACCCTTCTAACTGGTCCCCAACCGTGTACCAAATTTGAGCGCCATCGGTCCAGCCGTTCTCGAGATTTGGAAACGACCCCTGCACGTGCGCACGTGCAGCAGCACCCGAACTTTGGCACATGGATATGCATTGCCTAGTGGGTGCCTACTGCCTACCTACATGCCAACTTTCAGCGCAATCGGCCAAGTAGTTACCGAGATATTGCAACTATAACAAAACTGACATCTCTTCGTTTTGCATGTGGCAGTTGGCACGTGCATAAGGGGTCACCCACATGCATCGGGAATAGTCAAATACTTGGTAGAAGGAATGAAGCTACCCTACAAAAATTACCGCATGTAAATCGGTCAAGTGGTTGCTGAGATATAAGCCTCGCAAAAGCGTCCGCACGGCCGGCCGGCCGCTCATACTCAGAAATTTCCGTTAATCTAAGGGAAGACTACGCTCGCTTCGCTCGCTCCGTAACAAGCAAAAATGCCGATGATGTTTACTTTAACCTGACCTGTGACGTCATTGGTGACCTCGACCGTCGACGTCTATCAAAATTGGTTTCTTTCGACAGTTTTTCCAATTTCCAGTGCTATCAGACGCCATTTGAATTTTGACTATCTGCCCAGTAGTTTCGGAGATAGGCGGGGGGGGGGGAGGGCTCTGGAGAGCCCCCCCCCCTCAGTCACTCGCGTTATGGAAAATACCCCAGTCATGCGCGGGTTAAAGCGGGATATTCCCGTTACTGTTATCGGGCCCCGGGGGCTGCTGCTGGTGGAATAAGTTGCCTACTTCTTATGAAAACGTCAAATGGTATGACGTAGAACCGCAGCGGCGCGGGCTCACCAGTCGCTATTTAGGCTTTGCCAATTGGGCTCCGTAAGAAGGCGCACTCCCGACGCAACTCGACAGCTCATTCCAAGCTCTGACTGCCCGTGCAAGAAACGGGCACGTCGGACAAACTCAATATGGTTACCTGGCAGACAACTGTCATTTATGGTCCTGGTCGTTCGGGCTGGTCACAGACCTCTGTAAATACTTACACCGGTATACAAAATGGACTGATAAGACCACTCAACATGTGTCTATTTACATATGTGTGAGCGCAGCAGCTCCGGCGCACTCTCATCATCCATTAGGTATAGGTATGGCACACTGGTCACGTTCCGCTATCATGCCTCCCACACTGCTCCACAGTCCAGCTCTGCGCTCATCGCGCCGCTGAAATGACCTCGGCGGCTCAGACCGGATACAATGCTCAATGCTAAGACATTTTTGAAGCCTTTGCTCTTAACCGGGATTTTGAAGCTTCTTCATATAGACGTGTGTCTGCAGTGCCTAAAGAGGGGAAACACCAGCGCTGTCACAAGCACACGCTTGGTTCACATGGAATGCTGCTCTGTATTATGGCGAGGCCGATCAGAATACAGCAGCATCGTCTGAAGATAGTCGAGACATGCTGCTCCCATGACAGGCACGAGTCGACGGTATCGTCCAGAATTTAAGCCAACTGCACAACAATTTGAGATGCGAAATAGTACCATTACCATGAATTTTGCATCTGTATTTTCCACGATTACCTATTTGAGGGCTCCATGCTTTGAGGACGGCATGAGCTATCTTAAGTGGACCATTTAGCACGAGTAACAATGTGTTTTGCAGACGGTTACTTGCCGTGCTCTGAGCGCCCAGCCACTATTCAACGTTACCAGCAAGTGTTCTGTGCACCCAGACGTTTATCCATGTACCAGTTAGTGTTCCAAGCACCCAGCCAGTTCACCCGGTTACCAGTTGGTGCTCCGTACTCCCAGTCACCCGGTTACCTGTCGGTGCTCCGTGCTCCCAGTCACCCGGTTACCAGTTGGTGCTCCGTGCTCCCGGTGTTACCTGTCGGTGCTCTGGGCAGCTCCTCTGAGGGTATCCGCCGCGTCCGGAGGCCCCCGGCCGAGAGCCGTCGGCGCGGACTCCTCCGCGTTATGTAGGCGGTATGCGGCGTCATTGGCGTCACCTAGGAAACGCCTCGGCATCCCGGGTGCCGCACATCACTCAACTAGTTGACACGCCAGAGACTGATGGGCTCCCGAAGTCTGCAGTCTCGAGTGACATCTGATCACTGGTGGCATTGAGACGATATCCTCGTCAATCGTCCCCTGTTGTTTTTATTCCTACGAAATTATGACATCAACTTGCTATATTTTATATGGTACTTTATAGTATATGATTATGCACACGCATTTCACACTTTTTCTATTACCTATCCATGTTCTCAACATAAAATCTGATATTTACCCCTCGCCGAAGCTGTCATGCAGTTTTCTAGGTAGGTACAGGTCTCGCGGATTTTAGCGGTAGGTTTTGCACCTAGAAAATCTAGTGTATTTCAGGCTATATCTTCGTCGTCTTTAGCATTTAACCTTCCAGGCGGTGGAGGGGGGGCATTTTTTTGCCCCCCCCCCTTTAGTTTTTTTTGATATATCTCGAGAACCGCTGCGCCGATCGTCACCAAACTTTCAGTACCCTCCCGGGAGTAGCTAGCGCACATGGTGACCAAAATTTTTTCCAAAGGCTACGATAGGTTGGCCGCTTATGACGTCAGAGTGACGTCATTTTTGCCATTTTCGACCCAAAAAAAGGTTTCGCAGGAAGAGCTGTCAGGCCTACAGCTTTAGAGATACAGAAAAATGTTCCGGACATAAAAGGTGTGAAATCAGAAGGACTACAAAATTGCTATTTCGGTTTTTCGAATTTTTTGGATTTTGACCCCCCAAAAATAAAAAAAAATAGATTTTTTGAATATAAAAGCCAAAAAATCCAAATAGTTTTTGAATTTCGAAAAAAAAACGGAATATATATGATAGTCCCTACCATCTTCTATCTACATACCAAACTTGAGATCAATACCTCTTTTTTTGGCCAAGTTATAGCGAAAAACTGTTCAAAATTGATGACGTCAAATTTTCAAACTCAATTTTTAGCAATTCTAGACCTCGTAGCGCAAAACAAAGACCACCATTAGACTCCCCGTGACGAGCTGCATCGAATCGATACCCATTTTATGCAAAAATATCAACTTTGAAATTTGACCTTTTTTGACCTGACCTTGACATGACCTCCACCAGAAAGTGACCTAAACCGTACCTGATGGTCATAACATAACCAATACCATTGAGTTGGAAATGAAAAACTGGCCATAAAACATGCATCTCACAACCTTAGTAAAGTTGGGTTCATGTGGTGACCCTTGGTGACCTTTGGTGACCTGACCTGTGACCTGACCTGGTATGACCAGTGACCTCTAATAGCAACATATGTACTAGACAGCTGACGCCTTATCGTTGATTTTCGACAAAATGCGTTTTACTCGGTGTTATAGCGCTTTCCCTAGAAGCCCCGTGAACGGTGAAACATTTTGTCTTTGACCTGATCTCTGACGTCATCGGTGACCCCGAGGTCAATGAAATTTGGTTTCCTCTCACAAATTTGACAGGGCTATCGAACGCCGTTTGAATTTTCCGGATCCGTCCAGTAGTTTCGGAGATACGAGGGGGGGGGGCAAAAAAATGCCCCCCCCCCCACCGCGCGGAAGGTGGCTGGGAGGCCCACCGCCTGCCGGGTTAAGTGTTGAAGATACGATCGACTTGTTGGTTCACAAGCCGACCATGATCGTGTAAAATGGCTTCATCGTAGATCGCTTAGTTTCTGAGATATAACCGGAAATGTAAAAGTGCAGAGCCTACCGCTTTATCTCGCGAGAGCCGTACCTACGTCTCGGCCGGGAAGAATGGATCCCAACTCTTTATGTCTCTTCTAATTTGAGCTAGAAGTTGGCGGAAGAATAAGGGAAGGCGTCGTTACGAGGTAGGGAGACTGACATTCAATTTTAACGTCTCAGGTCAAACAGTGATCTCTGGGGTCAAGTCAACTGCCACAAAGAAGATGTTTATTTTTGGTGAGTACCATCGCCAAAAAATGGGCATAAAACCGCGACTTTAATACCCTCTTGTGCTTCATGCCATTGCCAAGGCGCGTCAAATGATGTACCTACTTCTGTATGAGAGAGTCAGTCTAGGATGTTGACCTCAGTTCAAGGTCAGGTCAATCAAGCCACAATCCTGGCCCAAGGAAGTGACGTTGAATATCTGTGATTTTGCGAATCTTTCCGGGTCCATTCGTGGCATTCTTGCATGGTTAGCCAGTTTGACTGGATCGCGAATCTTTGACGGAAAACTCTAATGGCCTTATTGGTGTCATATATGACGTCACACATGTTCAACGATTCATGTCATACGTTAAGCACTAAGCTTGCAAAGGTGTATGGAATCACATTTCCACGTGCTATAGATAGTCTCAAATCCTCATCATGTAGTGCCAAATAATTGTTTATGTAGGTACTTCCCCATCGTCGTGCGCACTTAAGGACACGCGACCGACCTGACCTCACGTGACCTTTTAAAACTCTGTGAAATGCAATTTGTGGGTGCTCGGGAGGTAAATGCGTCCTTTCCAATTCATCCTTCTGCCAAAGATTCCCTGTGATCTCATAAGCCCCAGCTTTCCTTTTGCCTTTTGCTCGACGGGACCCATAGACCGAGTGACCTCTTATCCCGATAACCAGCTTAGGTGAGGTAGAGACTAGTCGGCGTTCAGGCAATTATTATTGATTGGTCCAACAGCTAATGCAATCGGAAGACGGCTTTCGAACAGTAGCAATCGCTATTTAGGATCGAATGTTTTTTACATATAGGTAAGTTTGACTTTTTTACCAAAGTGGGATTGGCGGTCAAGTCAACGGTGTGTTTCATGATGTTCAGTTGTAACTAGCATTTTGCGAGCTCGTTACGATTACCACGCCGGTCTCACGCAGACGGCCGTTTATCGCGCCTGTCGTAGTTCCCACTCCGGCCGATAGATGGCTCCGGGGTAGTGAGCCGCGGGCGGCGCTGCCCGCCCGCGGCGGTCAGCCGGCTGGCCCGGGCCACGCCGCCGCGCCGCCGCCCGCCCCAGTGCCGCGCGAGTGGGGAGGAGTGGTGAGTGTTAGTCGCGGCCCGGCGGTGCTCCAGGGGACGGTCAGTGCTCCTCTGTGGCGGGACTACAGGGCTCTGCTGCCCCCCCCCCCCACAGTGCCGTAAGACAGCAGCGGGAGGCGCAGCGACCCGAGCTCGTGTGAATGGACGAGGACGCACCGCCAACCCTATTCGGTGAGTGTCTGTGTCGCGCAGCAAATGGACATAAGATAGCTCTGTCCTTGTGGCATCTTTAACTCCCCTTCCCACCAATAATCAATTATCAGTTCGGTCACTTGTTGGATGGGGTGGGACTTGGTCGCTTATGAGCTTCGTCAGATATTTGATAGGTACAGTCAGTCATACTCGTGTCATTGACATTGAACTGCCTAAATATAGGGTTTAACATGAGCTGCATGATCAATTGGCCTTTTACCCTTTTACAGCGGTAAGGTATCTGACTGACCAACTGAAACGGAACCTAGGTTAGGCACCCGATGGCACAAAACATTGATAAAGAGTCGACACCTCTCCCCAGCCGCAGCGCGATGTGGCATATACGCTGTCGGTCAGCACTCAGACATCTTCGCAAGGACCCCGACCATGTGCCTTGGTATCGCAAACTGAGAGGCGTAAATGTAGGCAGGGGATACGTTGTGAGATATTTAGCGTAGGGTAAGGAGAGGTAACTTCGTAAAAAATACAAATCTTCCTCCAAAGCCAACATTTTGCGTTGGTATGCAAAGGCTGAAGCATGTTTAGCACGACCATTTCATTGCACACGCTACGGTCCTCCTTATAGTTCGTTTTATCGCTTGTGGTTTTTTCGCAACTTGCATTTTAAAAGAAGTTTTTGCTCCTAACTTCGTATGTAGGGTCATAACTTCGTGAATTATCTTTGGACGGTAATAAACAAGCGTTTGTCTTGGGATACCGTAGAAGCGAGAAGGTCATACTGAATTTAGCCTCTTTCAGCAGCCGTCAGCGCATCTCGCATGTTGTCTTCAGACCATACCCTATGCCATTAAACACGCGTGCACTGCGTATTTTTTTTCTTTCAGCTCCTTTGAAGCAGCTTTGTCAATAACCGTACAATACTGCTCAGTCTTATCGATCTAGCGAACTGTCCCTTTCAGCTGAACGAAATACGATCCTGATGCCTAAAGATTTAGGAGCTCCGTAAATCATATCTTTTCTCACGCAATGATGTCGGCCAGAATACCAACCTGCGTCAGCACGTGTCAGCGCTAGCCTTCCTTTGATTTATTTCATATTGATGCATTAGCGTAATGCTGTAGATTAGGATACATAGGCAGCATTACCAGATGCGTGGCGCATCACGCGATTCATGGACCATTGGCTGAACGAACCATTCGCTCGCGTCTGGACAGATTGCTGATCGATGTGCCAGGAGCAGCCCTACTGCCCCAACCCGGTGGCTCCCTAGCATGTTGAATAGATGTGCTCGGGTCCACAGATCCCCTCAGCATGTCACTGATTTTTTGGATAAACGCCTCCCCGCAGCACCGATTACTGAGTGCTACAATTGTATGGGAAATAAAGATGATGAGTAACCTTAAAAGGATTACAGACACAGTTCTGAACCTTCCAAACATTTCAGTATGAACGAAGACATGGCTTAACCGCACTTCGCTGGAGGGGGGGGGGGAGGAGCCTGAGCTTGTCCCCTCCCGTTTTTCGCCAACAAATAATTCTAAACGTGTTAAGCCAGCGATGTCAAGCTTTCACATGCATCAATTTGACATAATCTATGAAAGTTTGCACAAAATTTGTCGGAAAGTTTTCGAGAAAAGATGTTTTATTCTGGTTTTAGTGACATCGTGTCTGTTTAAAAACTGCAAAACCTCAAACGGCTCTTACATTTTCGGTTCTTAAGGAATCAAGAAGTAAAATATAATAGGATGCATATGAATTTTCTTTGTCTCTGAAATGGCTATTTCGTTTTTTTTTTTGGGGGGGGGGGAGGAAATCGTTATAAAATACAACATTTTGAGTTTATCAAAATTGCATAAGATTAAGTTATTGACATTGCTGATCCAGTATGGTTCTGAATCCGTACTTTTTAAAAGTTCGGCAGGTCCCGTTATGTCTGGCGGCTTGATGCCGCCGCGCGTGGTGTGCGCTCGTCGCAGCCGGCTGTGTCATGACCGGGTCACGCCGTGCCCGGTCGCCGGCGGTGCGTGCTGCAGCGCCCTGTCGGTGCCTCTGATGGCCGCTGACCGGCCTGCACGGCCACTGGAGGAGCAACGGGACACTGCCCGGCCGCTACATACACACTAAACACAGCCGCACGGTGTTCGGGCCCGCCGGGCATCGCCGACCGCCGCCCCCGGCTACACACCACATGTAACACACGGTCGATTCCGACTTCAGACCAGATCTGGACGGTTACGCGAGCGCTGCCACTGACCGTAGACCAACTTCACTGGGAGCTGCAGCGAGAAGACCTCGTCTGCAGAATCTCGCTCAGGTGGCCATCAAAAGCCGCGTCTTTAACGCTTCAGTCGCGAGTCCGTTGCGAGGCACGTGACGTAACTATCACTGAATGCCTGTCACCCCAATATGCGCAATGCAATAAAGTAGGGGAGAGTGGGGTAAGATGCCCAGGGTAGGAAAGACGCCCCACCCCCTCTAGCGGCAAAACAAAGAATCGAACCTGGAAATTAACGTTCTTGGCGTAAAGCGGAAGCCTGCCTTGTTAACTGCACCAAAATTTGCCAATGTCAGTCAGACAACGGTTGGCTGGTGATTGCATGTTTTTTATTCGCTGCTTTCAAAAAATATTTTGGTGTCAAAACATTGCAAATATCAAACAAGGTAAATAATTTGTATGTCCCTTGCTATTGTCGTGATACATTAATATGTAGGTATGTACTTTGTCCCAACCAGTTTGTTTTAGGATGTATAGTTTTAGGGCTAACAAATTGTACTGATTAAATGTTAATTCGGTACCTTGGGGAAAGATGCCCCATGCCCTGATGGGGAAAGACCCCCCCCCCCTAAATCCGTACGCTGTCCTTCAAACAACCCGTCGAATCATTTAGTACATACTTGTGATGAGAGACAAAAGCCGATCTGGGACTATTGAGAGCCCAATACGGTCGGCTGCTCCCCATGCCGGTCTTTCGGCCCACACAGCTACTTTTTGGGCGGCATCTGACTCTGAGAGCCCTCGAGACGACCTCTGTGGGCCCCATTATTAACTCCAAGGCCCCTCACGACATCCTTTGAGGGCTCCCGCGCTGGCTCCACGGGCCTCGCTGGCATCTTAGGTCCCCACGATGGGCTTGAGGGCCCTCAAGACTCATGAAGACCTATAAGGGCCCCACAACGTTCTCCGAATGCCACCACGGAGGCTTGTTTGGTCGCGCTGGACTCTGAACGATGACCTCTGAAGCCCCTCACGACTACTTTTGAGGGCCCTTACGATGGCGTTTAGTGTTTACTGCAGGCTCGAAGGGACTACTGATTCGTTCAGGCAATTCACGTGCCCATTTATGTCACTTATAGTGCAGGGGGGCATCCTACCCAACGCCAGGGGGCGTCTTTCCCACCCTTTGGGGTAAAATGCCCCCTTTCAGTTCTTCGAGAAAATGCTTAATAGCAAAAAATTCTCATATTTCAAGCACGAAAGAGTGATATTTTATGGAGAAAAATGATGTCGGCTGTTCCAAACACGGCGGTCCGCTCTGAACTGTCTGTATTGGGCTCGGTCCACATGCCCCAGGCAGAGTCACCAGAGGCGGCTCCAGGCGACCCACCGAGGGTGGGATCACGGGCGTACCCAGACCCCAAGCCTGGGTAGGTTCAGTCTACCACATTCCTCCACCTTTAGATAACAATGTGACAGACCAACAACCATTCGAACAGGCAAGACGTTACTCATACGCCAGTCGATCGGGTTGACGCAACACCGCACGGTTCCGCAGCTCATAGCGAGGCTCACCCCGCACCCCAGCCGCGGTCGCCGCCGCGGTCACTGCGGCCGGCGGTGACGTCACCGCGGCAGGCTGCTGAGCCCGAGCCGCCGTACACTGGGAGGTCACCAGCTCGCGGGGATAGCCGGCGCTGGGCGGGCCGGTATCACGACGGCGAACGAGCGCACAGCGAACAGGCGGACAACGAACAGGTGGACATCGAGACACCGCGCGGACATGATCTAAGTGTCTATAAATAATGCGACCATCTTCCAATCGAACAGACAGCTTGACACCTGCCTTCCCCAACAACACTCCGGGCAGCCATGTCCGCCCCTCACCACCCCGCAAACGGCTCACGGCTGACACATACACAGAGTCACCAACATTGACATTTCGGTCGACAGTATGCTGGTCACGGTACAATTTTTGTCGTGTTTGGCGTTGACGGATAGACTCGCTCAAGTTAGGTACAAGCGCGTCCATCGGTGTCCGCACACGGCGCCCCAGAAACAGCTCGGCTGGCGACATACGAGTGGTGGTGTGTGGCGTCGAACGGTAGCTGAACAGGAATCTCGACACCCTGGTGTGAACTGAACCAGAACGCTGCTTTTTAAAACTGCTTTTGAACGTACCCACGCCTTTCTCTGCCAGCCCGTTCGATTTCGGCGACATCGCAGGTGTAGTCAGATGAGTGATGTTGTTCTGCTTGCAGAACAACTTAAACTCCTCCGACATAAAGCCTTGTGCATTATCTGTGACCATCGTACGAGGGAGGCCCCAACAAGCAAACGATTGCCTTAAAAGTTCGAGTGTCGCTTCTGTGCCGGTGCTCCGGGTGGGGTATACATCCATCCACTTGGAATGAGCATCCACTACAATCAAGAACATCCATCCCGACATTGGCCCAGCATAATCTAAATGTACCCGTTCCCATGGTCGGGACGGCCACACCCACGGGTGAATCGGCGTTTCAGGTACACCCGCGCGGTGCTCCTGACACACATCACACTGCTTTGTCATGGAAACGATGTGATCATCAAGATTCGGCCACCATACATACATGCGCGCGAATGACTTCGTTCGGGATTCCCCTTTATGCCCCTCGTGGAGCATTTTTAACACCTGTGTTCGGGCTTGTGGTGGGACTACTACCCGCGCACCCCACAGTATACAGCCATCCTGAATGCTAAGCTCTGCCTCTCGACTCTTAAATGGCTGAAAATCTGGTCCAAGTGAAACGGTGCTTTGCGGCCA